GATACACATCATAGACATATATGCGTATATCGTTGAACTATACATATACATTGGACGATTTCCGTTTTCGTGTCCACTCACTTCAACGTGAAACCATCAAAAGACCAACTAACTCATTCTTTCAATTATATCCTGCACAGCTTACGGTTTGATGACTTGGCGTATTCCCTGTACTCACTGTCCCCTCCTCAGCAGTACTTCCAGATCACTGTCAACGTGGAGAAGTACAACAACGATACAGGCGAGTACGAGAAGGTGTGTATATATGTATGTGTGTGGGAAGGTATGCGTATATGTATGTGCATGCAATCTAGGTGCACAAATGTATACTTGAGTGATATAGTTACATATATGCATAGGCCCATGTGTGGTTGGTGGTATCTATGAATATCACCACATAAAGCAAGTGTGGGTCGGTGCCACGTGGCTCAGCCAACTAGTATACGTATGATGACATGAGTGTGTGTATAGTATTCATGTTGATACACATGCAGAGATGCCAGTGTGCAGGGTGCCATATCCGCCATCAATGCGTAGGGCTACCAACATGTAGGTACACACAGTCGGCTACCTACATGTAGGTGCACACAGTCGTCCCCGCATTGTGGTTCCTGTTATCTGATTGGACTGTGGCCCGTGTGCTTGAACCAAATTGCAATGTAACGAGTCACGCGTATTCACCATACACTACCACTCCCGTCTTTCTTCGTTATTTGTCCTGTTTTCTCATACCACTCGTCCCTTTTTCTCATCACACCTGCCTATATCTTTCTCATTTACATTTGCCTCTCCCATCTTTCTTCGTTTTTTTTGTCCTGATTTCTCACACCATTCGTCCCTTTTTCTCACCACACCTGCCTATATCTTCCTCATTTACACTTATCTGTCCCGTCTTTCCGTTCATCATTCGGTCCTTTTTGCACCAGACCGACGACATTAGAATTGGGCCGCAGCGTGTGGGCGACCGCTCCCTAGACGGTTCATTGACTGCGGTGTTTGAGGGCGAGTTTGCACCGGCCACGGCCTTCAGACAATTGTCGGATAAGTACCTGTCCATCCCATCACCACCCAATGTCGTCAATGAGCAGAATGTCGTATGTGACTCATGTCGTATAGTGTAAGCAAAGTATACACACACACACATATATATATATATATTATATATATATATATATATATAGATACATATATTTACATATATACACCAAGTTCAAACCATGCATTCGCACTCAAATCCCAAAACCGCGCATACACTCACACCTTTGGGCATGCAGAAGTAAAACGTCTCGCTAAGATATATGCTGCTAGTGCGTAAGCTATTGTACTTATGATCACATTGTCACTATCCTGCCACCCCACTATTCTATAAATGGTAACGATCCACCATTCGTTCTATTTTTAGAACGGTGCAAATGATTGGATGCTGGTGGATAAGTTCCTTGTGGGACTGGACGGTAGTGTGTGCAACACAGTGGGAGTGTCGCACAACGCATTCAGAAACCAAGGCGAGCGCTGCGGCCGCGCAAAGGGCGAGTAAGTGTATGGAAGTATCGTAATGATGGTAGTTGGGATATACCTATATATGGGTGGATACAAGCCTACATATAGTAGATATATACCTATATACGAGTTAGTATACATCTAGATATGAGTGGATATACACCTATAGATGAGTTGATATATACTTACATACGAGTGGATGTATGCCTACATATGCGTGAATATATACCTACATATGAGTAGATATATACCTACATATGAGTAGATATATGCAATACGACCGTAGTTTACACCAGAGCAGTATTTTTTCTTTGTGCGTGTGTATCTTCTGACCACTCACCAGACCTACCACAACGATATAATCTATATTCAATGCGTTACATTTAAAAAACATTTAACAAACCAGGAATGTACACTACACACAAGCCAAACATGTCGATGAGTACCAAAGTATACTGTATTCTTATACGCACTGCCATACCCCCTAAGAGTGTTGGACTATATTTACACACGCGTGCTCCTTGTATAGTCATTCGGTTGGGGTTGTGGCCCATTTGCCAATGCTAACAACTGTATCTCCTCCGCACCCCACTCAGTTGCTTGAACAATCAATTGAAGGACTTCTGGGAGGCTGATACGGTAAGTCTTCTCTCCGTTCTCATACAGATAATGCCACAAGTATATCCATGGTTAATACCTATGGTTGTGTATGTTTGCGTGGCTGCCTAGCAACGCAGTGAGGAATAGCTATTATCCCTTGCGTGGTTGCCTAGCAAAGCACTCAGAGTGGACACCATATCAGATACAGTACAAAGGGTATCTACTTGTCCCATTAATTTCAGCGTTGTACAAGCTCACCACTTATAATACATATACCATTCATCGTCGCACAGATCACCTACAATACATATCCCATTCACAAAACATATCCCATTCATCTGCGCAATATATATCATATTCATCCTCACACAGCTGAAACGTCAGAACAATCTCGT